CGTCACAATGGGTGTTTAAGGCTAAATTCTTTAATGTTTGTGAAGTGTTTTGGGACTGGGCAGGACAGTTTTTAAATGCTGCAGTGCTACATGCAGAGTTATGCTAATTCGTGCCTTTTTAGACACTGATCCCTTACTGTATGTAGACTAATACCGCAAACTGGTCCAGTTTTAGTCTGTGGTACCTTTGGCCTTACTGGTTCTGAGGTTGGTCTGGGACAGAATAATTTATTTCTGATTTGGTGGTTACAGTAATTGATGAAATAAAAATTCCCCAGACTGTCCCTTGGAATACCCTGAGTTAACTGTTCCCTTAGGCTGTACAAGCTGACCTTTCAAAAAGCCTGATTTTTGGAGGCATAGTCTTTACAGTTTTTGCATGGAATAGGTATACTCCCAGTGGAAGAATCTACAAGAAAAAAGCTTATCCCTACAGACAAATACTGGCAGAAGCCAAAGACCTGCCATGAAGTGGCTCATTTCATAAGCATTGCCCATCAAACACAGACACCCCTTTGCACATATCACTGTGACCAGGTGGTGTGACATGTGGCCATGAACAAATAAATGTTTTGATAGGTAAACCTCAGCTATGTTTTTCTAAACAATTTTTTTAGTGTTTCTAAATGTGTTTTCCTATCACGACTGTAGATAGATCATGTATGGAATATCATTAATTATCGTGTATAACATGTCTGTTCTCCTATTGCTGATCTCCCATGTAAATACCCTTGTGGTTCTTTGCTGGTATGTCACAGCAGATGCTTTTGCTTTTTCTATTGCTGTAAACAAGCTGTTGTGACTGATACTTCTTTTCACCATATGTCCTGAACACTCCCAGTTCATCGTCACATGTAATTTCCAGGATGCCTTGTAGGGTGTGTATGCCTCCACCCGATTTCAAAATCAATGTAGCTCTCCATGGATTGACTAATGACTGCAAGGTGTAACTTACCATGCTGGTTTTGGCTGACAGTGCTGCTAAACGAACAGTTGTTTGCTTAACATGTCTTTCATGGTTCCCATGTGAAGTAACTTTTTCTGAGAAATTCAACATGCCTTCAGGTCTCCTGATAAGCATTTATCTGGCATGCTGTTGAGACCAAAAAGGAGCGTGACCCCAGCTTGTTGCCCTGAATACTGATAGTTTTGCCCTGTTCCTTAGCCATGTCGTATGTTTGTATTGTCCTCATACATTTTGTTATGCTGATCTCATCATTCCTACATCCATCAAGCATCTGTAGAGTAGGAGTGGGTGGGTGGCGAGAACTAAGAAAACTGTGATGTACCTGTAAGGGTGTTGTGCTGATGCAGTGTATAAGATGTTGTAATTCTGTCCCACTGTGAGGATCTAGGACTGATGGCACATTTTCTTACATTTGTTTTCCCAAATGTTATGTTGTTGTTTTAGGCCATTCTCAACGCTCTTCATAGAATAGGATATGCAGCACCAAAGAGGAATTGCTTGTGCACAGCAAACATATTTACTTGTTATTATAATGGGTGGACATGCCTTGTTATTCACCTGTGATGTGTTGACCTTCCAGAAGGTCTTCCTGGCATTTCAGTAATAGCATATGTGATGGTACAGTATTGAGTGTGGTCAGGAATGGTGTCTCTACTAATCATTTTAATGAAAGCAGTCATGTGGAGGTGAACAGAAACTGAATTTAAATAGTAAACATGAAAGAAGTTCAACTACAGGAAAGGGCATTCTTTTAACATTTCTCTCATCTGACTCTTTAGGTTTCTGAGCTTTTCTTTAGGTTGTCTGAGCTTTTGCCATATGTGTTGCTGGACTGTCCTCACAATATGATGTATTGCTGTTGGGACTATAGCTGGTGGGAAAGACTTTTTTCCTCTTGATAGCTGGTGAAATTGTTCATGTTGCCTGTAGCAAAGAGCATGCTAGCTCTTACTTTGATTGATCTGTGGCGGCACGCTGTGCGATTATAGTTTATGTAGGTAAGGGAGGGTTTTATATGAGCGTTTTCTTGAGGTTGGTACAGATGTCTATATGTAAATTTCTGTAGCTCCACAGTGGAACAGACAAAGCTGCATATCATAGAATCATGGAATCAGAGAGTATCCTGAACTAGAAGGGACCCACAAACATCATTGAGTCCAGCTCCTGGCCCTGCACAAGACAAGCCCAAGAATCACACCATGTGCCTGAGAGCGTTGCCCAAACACTTCTTGAACTCAGACAGGCTTGGTGCTGCAGGGAGCCTGTTCTAGTGCCCGGCCAGCCTCTACATGGAGAACCTTTTCCTAATATCCAGCCTAAATATCCCCTGACACAGCTTCATGCCATTCCCTCGGGTCTTATTCCTGATCACCAGGGAGCAGAGAGCGGTGCCTGCCTTTCTGCTTCCCCCTGTGAGGAAGCTGCTAACTGCAGTGAGGTCTCCCCTCAGTCTTCTCTGTGCTGAATAAACAAAGTGACCTCAGCCACTCCACATATGGCTTCTCTAGACTGTTGACCATCTTCATGGCCCTCCTTTTGGTGCTTTTTAATAGATCTATATCTTTCTTACGTTGTGGCACCCAAAACTGCACACAGGCCTTGAGGTGGGGCCTCACCAGTGCAGAGTGGTGTAATGCAGCTTCTCAGACATATGTTGGTTTTGCTAGCATAACACTAGAAGTTACAGTTGCTGCCTTTTTTCTGCTCATATTCTGGAAATTGGAGTAGAGAGCACCACTGTTTGAACTAGCCTTGGCTGTGCCCTTCTTTTCACCTTTCACTCTGAGGGTATGATTGAAGATGGTATGTTGATGCATACCTGCACTCAAATCTTCCATGAGCCAAGAAAAAGATAAAAAGAGCCTGATGTAACTATGTCAATGTGTAACGTGGTGCCTGTGGAGAAGAAAAGGTTATTGACATTGTCTTTGCTACCAATAGATGCCTATGATGAATGTCCACATAATTTCTTTTACTCTTTGTGTCCGTATCAGCAACTTAGAAGCACTGCAGGGTCTCTTTTAGTATACACAGCTGGATCTTCCGTATGGGATCTGGCCATAGTGCTCTCATTCATGATGAGGGCAGATCTTAGTGGTGGATTGTTATTTGTCTATGCTTGTGAATGTGTCTACATGTTATTTTTATGTTAAAGAGAAAATGTTGGAATGTCGGTAAAAACAACCTGATGTTGCAGAGTATGTGGTCCAGATCAAATCATTCTTTTATAATGTCTTGCATTTTAAATGTATTTTGATTTAGTAACTGTTTTCTTGTGCTTGTTTATACCTGAAGGCCAAGTATCTCCTCCAGCTGAGTACTGAACAGTTCTGGTTGAGTTTGTGACAGGCCCTCTGTTGCAGCAGTTTGCTGTGATGCTGACACAGGCAACTCATTCGAGTTTGTACAATTGTCCCCACTGCACTGGACACAGGATATTCTGTTTTCCTTTGCTCGTTTTGTCAGATTTCATAGGATAAGGACTCTATGCTACTTCTTGGCTTTATGCAGCAGTCTGAGCATCTCTAATGATTTTAGTCTTTCATAGTCACTGAGCTCCTTTGGTACCAAGGTATTCCCATTCACAGTTGGATGTTGTGGTTGGTGATCTTTTATCTCCAGGTGCCTTTGAAAACTTTGCATGCTATCATCTGGCAGTGCATATTTTTTTCTTATTTTTCTTCTTGCCACAACTTGTATCTGCCTAAAGAAAATGTGCCAAACTGGCTCTACTCCTGGAAGAAGTAATAGTTTTATGGATTGCTTTGTTTTGATTAAGGGAAAGTAAAGTTTTCTTGTAGCATTTTATATATCTACAGAGTTCATTTTTACATCAACATTTATTATTCCTTTGGCTCCTGAAATAAGATATATTCTGTAGGATTTCCAAGGTCTCTGTAAACTTTCAAAGCTGTAAACGATTTGATGAAGTGGACTGTTTTTTTCTCAGTAGCCTCTTTTCCTGTCTTTCACAGTGAATAGTAGCATGGTCTGGTAAGGGGCAGAATTTAATGTGTGTGGTAGGGGACGAGTGGCTCAGCAGAAATGGTGCTTACCTCCTGTTTTTTCAGTTTGTCCTGTTTTGTCATAATTTTGAGATAGAAATGGCCTTTGTCTGGTTCTGAAGATGCTTAGCATTAAGGCTTTGACAGATGTCCACCCTTCTTTCCAACTTTGTGCTATTGCTGGCCATCATTGTACAGCACAGTCCACATTACCTGTAATCCAGTACTTTTGAAGACCTGTCAAAGGTATAGTCCCCTGGAATTTAATGTTGGCTTGAGAAACAGAAGGGAAAACCCCAATTACTGTCTTTAGGGGGTTCCCAAAGTGCTTTTTGCAGTTTTAGAATATCTTAATATTGCCTATGTGATGACCTCCCTTTTATTTCTAGGTATTTATTCTTCAGATCAATCTAGATGTAATTGCTGCAAACAAGTACTTTTCAAGAAACTGTATTTTTGCCTGCCTGTGTGGCATAATGCTTCTTGTTCACACAGCACAAATAAATTGGGGTACTTTCCTTTCACATTAGCCTATGTATTGCTTTTGCTGGAGTTATCACACTGATCATGCATGTAGATTATAAGCTTCTGTAAAGCTGACTCCAAAATCGTGAGAGAGTGGAGGTTTTAAGAAAACTCTTGATGTTATTTCTGCTTTTTAATCATCTCTCATTCTGGACAGAGTTGTATTCATTGTTTTCATGCATGCTGTGTCATGCTGGTTGTTGTTAACATGTTTACTTTCACTACTCAGGGAAGTAAATTTGACTGCAAGGTTCGGTTTTCCCTAATGTTAGCATGAGAAATACCCAGAAACTGAGTTAAAATGATACTGAGTAGTTAATCTCTACATTTCATAGTTACTTTTACTGAAATGAATAATTACCTGGAGGTTACAGCTTCAGAGCAGGAAGCCTAACTGTAGTCAAAAGAAACTGAGATTATGCTAATGAATTTTTGCTTTATGTCCTTTGCTTTGTATTAAAATGTGTCATAATGAATAACATTCTGTTTCTTGTTCCTTACAGGTAAAACGAGAAAAACCAGAAATTATACCAGATTTAGAAAACTTGGTGCAAGAAAAATTAACTACAATTGAGAATAAGAACAGTGATTCAGATTTGAAAAGCAATGAAAAATACATGTATTTTATGGATCAGCTTAAAGAAATGAAAAAACAATGTAAGTCTGATTTAAAAAAAAAAAAGATTCTTTGAGTACTAACTAGTAAGATGTGACTAACTGCCCTAAAATATAGAATTACCAATTATGGCTTAAACTGGTGTGTGTGTTCTTACTTAAAAACTTATTTAAATTGTTATCTGTGTAGAAAAAAGACCAGTGTAATTACTTTGGTAGTTTTATTTAGACTCCCACAGTTTCTGCTGTGTTTGAATACAAATATCATGAAAATCCCATTTTTTTTTGGTAAGGTGGGCTTTGTCATTTGAAGACCTTTTGCATTTATTTTCTTAATTGATAGGATCTTCTAAAAAGATTAGGTAAGCTGTTTTCATTTGTCGCTTAAACAAATTGCTCCTGTTTCACAACTTAGGATGTGTTGCAACTCTTAAGAAGACCTTTGCTTTAATCGTAGAACTATATTGTTGGAAAATGCTTACTGTATGTGTTCTCAGGTTTACAGCTTCGTGCACGCACCAGGAAACACTGCAGCTTAGTAAAATCTGGTTTTCTTAATTCACATAATTTTTCTAGTGTTAAAATTTCAAGTTATATCTGCTTGAATTACCAGAGGAGTTGGAGAGTGAACAGTTCTGTTATTTATGCAACACAACGAAATTGTATGCTTTTATTGCCCCACACATATAGCAGCCATTAAAATATCACTCTGATTACTGGTTCTAGGAAAGTTCATGGGCTCTGACACTATTTGTGTCGCTCTTCCCTAATCATGATTATGTTTTGAAATCGTATTATTCTACTTTCTGTCCCTTGACCCCCTTGCTGTACCTATTCCCTCCCACCCTACATTTTGATTTCAACATGAACTGGTGTCTCAGGAACTTCAGGAGTCATAGATTAATGATTTATACCATTGGAAAAGGATATTCTGGACGCTCGCCTGTAGCTCTCCTTGAGTTTTGGGGTTTTTTGGAACCCTATTCAAACCTCACTGGAAGTAGCAGAAAGAATTTGCCCACTGATTCCACTGGACTTTAGATTACTTCCCTATAGAGACTTATGGGGTGTGAGGACATGTTTGACAAGGTGAACTTTAGATCTGGTGTCTCAAGACTCCCTAGGATTAGAGCTCGAGGGCTTAATATATTTGTTTCTCATCTTTATGGGTTTTAAGATTTTCGATTTGAGTATTAGCACTGATCTCTGAGTTTAATAGATCTTAGCACTACTCTAAGAATGAACATACCAAGTTGTAGACCACAAAACAGTGTAATTTTCACTCCCTACATAGCCATAAAATTATTACTGCCCCACCATTATGTTGTAATTCCTAATTTCCAGGTGTTTGTAACTAAGAAGATAAAAATCTTGATAACTGATTTCGGCTTTACTTTCCACCCTGTAATTGCCTGAGGAAGGGGTGTATGCCCTAGGAATAGATTCAGTTCAAGCTATGGGACTAAGTTCTAACTGGCAGACCTGTTGAAAAAAACCCCAAATTAAATAAACACCGTAAAAATTATTCGTAATAAAATATGAGAATGTCATTCTGCTACTGCTGCCTGAAATCCAGATTTGTCTTACTAGCCACTTGACTTTTGTTTTGGTCGTGTACAGAGGTCAGACTATGCCCAAAATGAAATGCATGATGATGTTGGGTGGACTGCTGTGTTCTGTACAAGGACTGTTTATCAGCTGGGTCAGCTTGGGGTTTGTAGATTTCGTGTTGGTTTTGATCAAGTAAATCCATCACATTTGCTCCTCTTGACATATTTATTGCAATTTAAAAGATTTAATGAAAAATGGTTACTTGGCTTCCGCAAAGTCTTGGATGCAATATAGTGAACATGTATACAAGGGAACAGTCTGGTGCAGCCACCTTCTTTGGCAATGAAGTGTTACCTCAGGTCTGCAGATAGGTGGGAAATAGTTTTTGAAAGCAAGCACAATTCTGCTGCCTTAAACTTGCATTAGTGTTGTGTCTTCTGCCTACATAATCTATTGATCCAATATGAAATTATTTTCCTACACTCCTTTCCTCTTCAAAAGGCTCTTTTACCAGGAAGGCTTCTAGAAATTTTTGAGTAATAATGGATGACTGAAGATCGGTGGAGCCTGTTTATATTCACATACTTAAATTTGCTTCTATATGATACAGTGACCTGGAACCTTTAAGACTGTCTTGTTTCTCTATTTATTGTAGTTATGTCATCTTCTTGCCATTACCCTTATCCTCCCTCTCTCCTTTTGTGTGTTTTTGTCACTCATACCTAGCCCTTAAAAAGACATGTGGAACCGAATATCAAAAATATATTCACAAGCTTAAAAATGATAGGTACATTCTTACAGGAATTCTTATAGGGCCTCTGTTTTTAATGTCTTTGTGAGAGACTAAACACATGTACTCCATCTGGTACAAAAAGTCACTTCTCATTATTGAGCTCTACATAGTAAATTATTATGTCGAGATGTATAATTGAGCACTGTCAGTATTATCTAAAGTACTAGTTATAATGTTAAGCTGCTGCAGGGGAGGTTTAGGTTGGACATTAGAAGGAATTTCTTCACAAAAGGGGTGATTAGACATTGGAATGGACCGCCCAGGAAGGTGGTGGAGTCACTGTCCCTGAAGGTGTTTAAGGAAAGACTGGACATGGCACTTGGTGCCGTGGTCTGGTTGACATGGTGGTGTTCAGTCATAGTTTGGACTCAGTGATCCCAGAGGTCGTTTCCAACTTGATTCTGTGATTCTGTGATATACCATGTCGAAAATAGTATTACTGTGAAGAAAGATTGGACTCAGAGGCAGGAATTTCAGAGTTGCAATACCAGCTGAGCTGGAGAGTCATGAAATCCGTAAAAGACATGAGTTTCCATAAACTGGTGATTTACCTTATAGGACACTGTGTGTACATGTGTTTTTCGTGTTAGGTTTTGGGTTTTTTTTGGTAAAGAGAACATTAAGGTCATCCTGTTAAATATTCAATATCTGTGCTTATATCGAGTCAACTGTGTATTCTTTAGTTTCTCCTGTATGAATTGTGATTTCAAAAGCGTGAGCCCTACAATTCTGGTCCCATCTTACAGCATATTACAATGTGTCTGCAAATTTTGGGAGACACTTTAAAACTGCTTCATGTGAGTTACATGTATCAGTAACTTCAGCAAAAACTATCTAGTTAATATTTTGTTTTCAATCATTAGTCTTGCCAGGTTTGCGCACAACTTAGTTCAAAATTCCTGGCCTGTTTCAAGAACACATATACAGTTGTGGTCCAATTTTTAGCTCTTTTCTGGGATTTGGTTTTGTTGCTAAATCACATAAAATATGAAAACTTCAGCCAAGTTTTCTCAGAGGGGCTTTCCTGGGGTTTTCTGTTGTTCCAGTCTCTTCTATCTCAAAGGAGCAGATGGGGTGGATGCTAAAATGATTTGCTGTCCAGGATGTGTTACCATTAATCATTGTGTATCTTTTATTCATAGTTCAACATTTGTAGTCTAGAATAGCTGAACAAGGAAACAGTATATTCTCACATTGTCTTGCTACTTAAAAATTAGCTAGGATTTTAAGGAGAAAAATTTCTCAACACAGTTTTTAGGTATAGTGCAGAGTGTGAAGCAGTTAAATACAACCTTATTTTAACAAAAAATTAAGAAAAATAGTATGTTTTCTCTCTTGATATTTGCTGCCACAGTGATGAAAGGGAGCTGCATGGTTGTTCCCTGCCCGTGACACGTGACAGGCAGTACCGTAGGTACCTCTAATACTCAGGGAGGAGAACGGAGCTGTATCACCTTCAGCTTGTCTTCTTCTCTTGGCAGTTCTGTGGGAAGGAGGCCTTCTTAGCTTTGAACTTCAGCAGCAGCTAAGGTGCAGAAAGGAAATTGGGCAAGTGCATCTCTGGCAGTAAGGTTGATATGCCTCAGAGCAGTTTCTGTTCTGCTCGTCTTTCAGACAGTTTTCAGGCATTTTCTCTCAATATGTGAACCTTTATTATGCAGCTACTTCAGCTAGAGTTTGTGCAAAGTAATGCAAAATCTCCACCTCTGATGATATGTGTCAAAACACTGTCAGACAGGTTTTATGTGAACAGAAAGTGGTTTTTCTGAAGTCTGTTTTCAGAACTATCTTAGTTTCCTAAATTCCCACTTCTTACTTTTAATGGAAAACATTATAATTTTTCCTCTAAGCCTTCTTAGAATGTAAGCAGTAGAAAGGAGTTTGATTAATTTTTCTTTTTTTTTAACCATTTCTTGTGCCCCTAAGTGGCTACATTATCTTTTCCAAATAATTGAGCACTTGGAGGCATATTCACTAAATCTGGTAATACCAGAAAGTTCTATATGATTGCATGTGTGGTTTGTAAGAACTTTTTTACCTTAACACTACATGACTGATGCTCTCCTTACCCGTAAGGGTCCTGGATCTGCAAAGTGCTTAGTGATCTTTTGAATAAGTGAAATGCTTAAGTAAGTTGCTTAAATTAAATTGCTTGAGTAGATCCTTTGAAATTAGTGAGATTGCTGGCATGTTTCATTTCCTTATTGGAGCATAACCACAGTGCAGAACCTTGAAGGAGTGAGCCCATAGGAACTAAGCCTTGATTACTGCAGGAATTGTAACTTTGCATTTTGTATCTTCTGTAAGTTTAAAATCCCACCTTCTGTTTGAAGTTGTATTACTAAGTCTTTTTATTTCATGCCAGTATATATATATCTCTGTCTATCTCAAAGGCATCTTCTGGCACAGAGTATGAGAATTTTGCTTTCACAGAATGGAACTAAGATCTGTCTTTAATCTCTGTGTAACAGTTTAAATTTCTGATACTCTGTGAAGAGAGATAATCAGAAGGTATAATCTCTGCTCATATGACCCTAGCTGCCACTGCTGTATTTGCTGAAGGTTATTTAGTGTCACATTTGGTGCACAAAGGATGGATGACAGGTCTCATAGCTTTTTTGTAGCAGCTGACAACATGCACTTTGGAATCCTTGATAAATATGGGCTCTGTGAACACCCAACAGATGCACACTTCAGTCGTGATTTGGTGGAAAGTGCTAAGATTTGAGTGAATGACAATATTGCTGGTTATGCCAA